TTTTAAAGGCAAGGAAGAAATGGATTGTCAAAAGTCAACTACAAATTTCAAAATTCCAAGAATACGATATTTGGTCTGAAGAGACTGGCGAAAATTATTCTTCGAGATCTGACTTTTTTTCACAATTCAGTATTTTTAGCAACTGGCTTTCAAAAATGGACAGTCAAATAAATTCCTGAATGGTTTTCTACTATATTATTTCCAAAAACGAGAAGGTAATACTAATAAGAGTTGTTAGGTGTATATTGACTTCACGTGCTCACCTTCTTCCTTCCAATTCAATTAGATGAAAATGTAACAGCTATTTTATGTTGTTTACTCTATTATTCGTATGCCCTTAAATATCTTTCATAGTGTTTGGATTGTGAAATTTGTATATATAGATCTAGTAGTATCTTTCTTTTTCATCATCAGACTTTTACTACCATCCGTCTTAGAGAGAGCTAAAAATTCGCATTAATGGCGACCCAACCACTGATACTGAAGACGGCATGTGTTGTTGGAGGCTCTGGTTTCGTGGCTTCGTTGCTTGTCAAACTATTGCTTGAGAAAGGCTATGCCGTCAATACAACTGTTAGAAACCCTGGTTAGCTACTCTCTCCTTAATTCACTTTTCACTTCAACTCCCTTTATTTTCTTTTCTTGTTTATTTCTTGCTGGTGTTCCACTATGTTTATACATATTTTCATATAATTAATGCAGATGATCAGAAAAAGGTCTCACACCTCCTATCACTAGAGAGTTTGGGCAACTTAAAGATCTTCAGAGCAGACCTAACTGATGAAGCAAGCTTTGGTGCTCCTATAGCAGGTTGTGATCTTGTCTTCCATGTCGCAACACCAGTCAACTTCGCTTCTGAAGATCCAGAGGTAATTAAGTAATTACAGATTCACAACACCAATATCACAATTAAATTGACTATGATTGCACATTTTGGAACGCAGAATGACATGATAAAGCCAGCAATCCAAGGAGTAGTCAACGTTTTAAAAGCCTGTGCGAAATCAGGAACCGTGAAACGTGTTGTTTTAACATCATCAGCAGCTGCTGTAAGCATCAATGAGCTGAATGGAACTGGCCTGGTCATGGATGAGGAGAACTGGACTGACATTGACTTCCTGACTTCAGTGAAGCCACCTACTTGGGTAATTAGAATCCAAAATTTTCAGAGTCTCCTGATTTTTTAACTTAGTACATCCATGATATTAAGGAATCAGAACAGGAAGAGGATTTTGTGATACAAATTAACAAGATAAAAGGGCTAGTCCAGTGCTGAGAAACAAAATAACAAGATGATTTAGTAAAATTATATGCATTTGCAGGGTACCCTGCCTCCAAGACACTAGCTGAGAAAGCAGAGGATTTTGTGATACAAATTAACAAGATAAAAGGGCTAGTCCAGTGCTGAGAAACAAAATAACAAGATGATTTAGTAAAATTATATGCATTTGCAGGGGTACCCTGCCTCCAAGACACTAGCTGAGAAAGCAGCTTGGAAGTTCGCCAAAGAAAACAACATTGATCTCATCACGGTCATTCCTACTCTCATGGCCGGTCCTTCACTTACTCCAGACGTCCCTAGTAGTATCGGTCTTGGCATGTCCTTAATCACAGGTGTAAAATCAGAACCAGAAATACATAGGTAGTTTAATCAACTAAATACAAGAGCATAATACAGAGGATGTCTGAAATGAATTTCAATTGGTTTTGTAGGGAATGAGTTCCTCATCAACGGGCTGAAAGGTATGCAGATGCTGTCGGGTTCAATCTCCATTTCACATGTTGAGGATGTCTGCCGTGCCCACATATTTGTGGCGGAGAAAGAATCAGCTTCTGGCCGCTACATTTGTTGTGCTGTTAATTCAAGTGTTCCTGAGCTTGCAAAGTTCCTAAATAAAAGATACCCTCAATACAAAGTCCCTACTGAGTAAGCCCACTTCATAACTAGTGTCTATGAATTGTGGTGTAAATGAAACAAGTTTAACATATTCTTCGTCTTCTTTATCAATTGCAGTTTTGGAGATTTCCCCTCTAAAGCCAAGTTGATCATCTCATCAGAAAAACTTATCAAAGAGGGATTCAGTTTTAAGTACGGGATTGAAGACATTTATGACCAATCCGTGGCCTACTTCAAAGCTAAGGAGCTATTGCAGAATTGAAGACCTTAACAGATGTAATTGCTGCTAAACAGTGCTTAAGCTTTCACCTACAAATGCTTGCACGTCAGTATAATAAAATATGTGCTATTATCCAAATAAAATAGTTCTTTGTTCATTGCATATCAACGACTACAATATATATATATGTGTGCGCGCGCGTGTCGCGTTATTGAAGGCGCAGGTCCGTGTACATGTGGCTTATACACTGAAAGCAAATGGGAAAACAAATCTCCACAATTTCATCTCCACAGAGAAAGAACAACATAATCAATATAACTGATTTTAATTATGAAAAAAAAGAGTATATTTCAGTGATCCCAAAATAAAGGAAACTCAATATCAATTATTTCAAAATTGAAGATCTTTTCAAAATCAAAGATACAAATAAGTAATCAGTAACTCATTTTTCTTTGCCTTCAATTCAGGACAAATCCTAGTTCTAAATTTAAAACACTATTTAAGCTCCTCTTTTTTCTTTTTATGTGAAACAATTTTTTTCTTTCTTTCTTTCATATTTTACTAATTGTTCAATAGTTCAAAAGTGAATTTCCCTTTAATTGTGCAGTTTTGTGGGAGTTGTTTGTCAGGATAAAAAAAATAAAAAAACAAAAAATTGAAAATTGATTTTGGAATAATTATAAGAGTTTTGTTTGTGTGTTTTTTTTTTTTTTTTTTTTTTTTTTTTTTTTTTTTTTGGGGCAAATCAACTTATATATAAAAAAATAAAAAAATAAAAAAAGTACAGTACAAAAAGGGTTAAGGCAAGAGGGCAAAGAAGGCCCAATGCAAGATACCCAGGCCACCCAAGCAAAAGGACCGTTGAGCCAACCTTCATTCATACAGTGACAAGGTGATGATGGTTCTCCCTAAACACAAAGCTAGGTGGTCTCAGGTCGCACAATACAGTATGTTTGAAGAAATAAAACAAACTATAGGACTATTTTTAGATTTAAAGTTGAATGGGCTTTTGAGGTTTTGGACCATGGAAATTTCTCGTAAATGCAGAAATTAATGAGAATCATATTCATCAATTTTCTCATGTAAGTAGTCACTTGAATAACCAACAAAGATCAAATAGTATAATCTATAATCTCTCCATCTTCAAAGAGGAGGGACAAGAACGGAGGCATTCACAAGTAAGTGGAGGCAATTGTTCCAACTGATTTTTTTTTTGTTAATATACCCAGGGACAGAGCTTGTGTATGCCTGGGGGCACGTGCCCCTCCTGGCCTGGCATTCACATATACTTAATTTATATATTTTTAAAATTATCTCTTACATCCATATAATGCCCCTCCTTAAATTTTTATTTTTTAAAATTATCTCTTAAATTTTGTATTTCTTTCACTTTTTTACTCTTTAAATTCGTTTAATTTCTTTTAAAAAAGTCAAAATTTCCTTTTTGAATCAAACTCTAATTTTTTTTTTTTTTTTCCTTTCTAAATTTTTTTGTTAACTATTTATCTTTCTTAAATTACTGCATATTATTTTGACTAATTTTTCTTCTTTGTTTCTTGATTTATAGAATCTATATTTATTGTCGTGATTATTGAATTTTTTTTTTTACAATGTGCCCCCTAAATTTAATTTATGGCTCCGCCCCTATATATACCTATAAAATTAAACTACTGCTCCCTTTGAAATTATTAAAAAAATTACACTATAGCCCCCCTTACACCATGTTTTGGCTCTGTTCCTCAAGGAGGGGGAATCCGCACCGATGTGGGTAACAAAAAGCGTGTGTGAGTAAGAGTATGTTTTTTGCCATAAAAAATAAATAAAAAAAAAAAAAAAAAAACAACCCGCATATGCAATCTTAAAAATCAATTTGATGAGTTGTTCTTGCCGCGCCAAACATATCTCTTTTTAACTATGCATTAAAATTAAGCATAAATAAAAAAGAGTTAAAAGTTGAATTTTAGATGTTAAAGTTGTAAGTGAAAATTAAAATTGATAATTTCTTTTATACTTGTTTGAAGTGTTTTATATTACGGTGATTTTTTTTTTCACTTTAACTGATATCTAAATTAATAATCAAATAAGCATAAAATTTTATTCATGACAATATAATCACACTTTTACGTTGTTTTATTTAAACAATATGATTTTATAGAGATTTCAAAGTACTATGAAATTAAAACTCAAAAAACTCAAAAGCTTAAGCTCATAGGTTACCGGTGTTGACAACACCTATGTTAATAGGACGACAATGAAGCGAGGACCCCAAACCTATATTCGTTTAACAGGGTTGCCATATTTTTTGTCCACAACTGTTTATTAAGCAGAGCAGGAGTTTAAAAAATAGAGAATATTTTTTAAACTTGTATTACAAATTTAAAGAGGTAACAATTATTTTTCTCTTGTAACATCGCAATAATATATATAGGTTCTAAAATAATAATAATACAAAAGTATATCTAGCTATTGAAATATTGGATTAACCTATGTTTTGTTTTATATAAACTTAATATTTTTTAATAAAAAATAAATTATAAAAATAGAATTGTAATTCATCGGTATAAATGATGTAAGATATGATTGAAGGGCTATTCTTTCATGCCAGCCTAAAACAATGAATTTTCAATCTTAACCCCTTTTCATTCAAAACTACTACTTAATCACTCCCATAAGCATTCTAAATGGGTCATGGTGGGACGGACCGGGTACCCGATGAGACGGGTATTTCACCATCCTGAAAAAGGTCTCGTCCTTGCAAACAATTATGCTCCGTATTTCTATACGCCGTCGTTTCTCTCCATTAATAATTTATTGACTAATTGGCTTCGTTCCATTTTTTCTTTTCTTTTTTTAAATTATTAATAATTTCAGTTCGTAGCGTTCGTCATTTATCAATTTTCTTTGTCTAGCCTTTGAAGCAACGACCGATTGAAATTTCAAAGAAACGACCTTCCATAATCTTTAAATAACCCTTGCTGTTTCTATAATTTGTATTCAATTTTGCTTTTTCTGGTGGAGATAGCAAAGATGTTAGAGAAGATCGGATTGCCGCCAAAGCCTGCCCTGAGAGGGAACAATTGGGTGGTTGACGCCTCACATTGTCAAGGATGTTCCTCGCAGTTCACATTCATCAATCGCAAGGTATCTCTATTTCTCTCTCTGATCTGTTTACTTACGACTATACGATTACTTTCTACTTCTCTTTACAATCCATTTCTCAGAATTTGTTATTTTGGATTTTATTTCAGAATTGATGATTATGACCAGGTTCAAATTGATGAATCATCTCTCTTACTTGCGTACTATTTATTTATGTCCCGTTTATTCAGGACCCATTTTTCTAAATTGGTTCTTTTGTGGTTTATTGTTCTAATAGACTACCATGTTTAGGTTTAAATTTGTTGAATTGGGTTTGTTAAATATTATACTCGGGCTATATGGATCTCACTGATTACTTACTGGAGACTATGATATCTTCTCGTTAGATAATACACAATGATGTTTTGTGGACATCTATTGATGTTTGAGAAAATTCAGTGATTAGCAGGGTTGTAACTTGTTAGGCAATCATACTTATATATATATATTTTAAAGGAGTTTTGGGTCTCAATCCAATTTAAAGAACTTGCTAATAAGTTTCTATAAGTACCCATATGATATAAGTGTCTTGTATTGTTGTGTTCTAAAGAGGAAATAAAAGAAAACCAGATTTATGATAATTTGTTTTTAAATATGAACCCTTATATTTCATGCCAAGCTGAAATACATTTTGTTTTGGCACTGAAATTTATAATCACTAGTTATTTGCTTTAACCTTAATTAATTATTGATGTTTTCTTATTTTCAGCACCACTGCCGTAGGTGTGGGGGCTTGTTTTGCAATAGTTGTACCCAGCAAAGAATCTTATTACGTGGACAAGGTGATTCACCAGTACGAATTTGTGAACCCTGTAAAAAACTTGAAGAGGCAGCACGTTTTGAATTGCGACATGGAAACAAGAATAGATCGGGCAGAGGTAATTTTTTAGATACAATTGTTGTTTGAGGTTGTAAGTTTAGTTTGCCAATGCAGTTTACCATTTCTCCGTATCTTTTTCCATATTTTTTTTCCCCCTCTCTGGCACATCTACATGGTTTTCCTCATTTCAGAAGCAAATGGTTACTAAAGTTTTTCTCAGCATTTCTAGCATGTAGTTCAACTGGTTCCTTTTATCTTTACATTGTGGCTGCTATCTTATCTTTATGACGTGGAATGCATGATGTGCAACAAGACTAGGAAATTGAGAATAATGCTACCTGTAGAAGAGGGGTTTGTTATAGAGGGTTCCACGTCACTCTGGAATGGCCACAAGGAAGGGGTGAGAATTGAGGAGGAAAGAGAGAGACAGTAAATTTCTGGGAAAAAAAAAGAGAGAGAGAGGAGAGGGTGACCATCTTATACTCTTGGAGTTGGGGTCTTCTCTAGAGAGGGGAAAGGACCCTCTATTTTGTGAGTAGAAGGGGAGTTTATAGGTGAAGTCACACATGAGGTCTATACACATGTGAAAGACAACCAATGAGATGGGGACAGACGTCTAGAGTCGTGTCATTCCTAAATGACATGTGTCCCACTGACCCCCTTTTCACTTCTCTCCTCAAGTATGTAAATAACTGCTAATTAGAAGTGGTTATCCGTGGGTGTAAAGAGGACACCATTCCTCGCCAGCACTTCCCTCTTTGCCCACCAAACCACACCCTCCTTGAAGACCCTAGGTGACGTGTCAAGACATTTTACGGTTAATAATTATGTATGAGGCTAGGGCGTGGCAAGGACCAGAATCCTTTGTCTACACTAACCATGATTATTTGTGGTGGGTTAATGTTATGAAATTCATGCAACTTTAGCATTTTGAAGAGTGAAGAAAGAGTTGTAGGCTTTATAAATGGAAAGGAATTTGATTCGGCTTGGCTTGTAATTTGATGTTGGAATTTTAGAAAGAAGAAGTCTGTTAGAATTTTTTTGACAAGTAATAGGATTTTGTTGTTAATTGAATGCCAAGTAATAGGGAAAGAGTTAGGTTTCTATTTATGGATTTGGAAGGAACAATTGAAGAAGTTAAAGTCTGGTTGTGATTTGAATGGCAGAATCTCATTGCAGAGTAGAAAGTAAAAGGAGAGCAAGAAGGGGAGAAATTTTGGGAATGTTGGCTACAATTCTTTAGGTTTTTCCTCAAGTATAGGTTGCATCATATTTTATACAATCTTTGAGTTTCTAAGATTCTACTTCTATAAATTGAATTAGCACGTAGATATTTTGGCTGCTAGTCTTTTTGCTACTTGTGCTAGAACTGGGATACCAAAATAGAGAACTTTGACACCTAGTGATGTTTTGACATGTTAAAGGCCGCATGTAAAGACCCAGTAACAAAACTTGACCCAAAATATGATTCATTGACTACTAATACTGCCTGCGCGTTGTTAAATTAAAATTACTTTAAATTTTAATACTTAGATCCTCACCAAGGTCTTACTGTGGCTAAAGAGGTGTTTGTGGTGTGGTTTATATGGGGGTAAAGGGCATCTCGCCAAGATCTTCTTGTGAAGCTTATCTGAGGAGAGGAGGATCTCATAGCAAGGCTTATATGAGGGAAAGAGGTTATTGACTGTGTATGGTGGCAGCGGGCCTTATGTGGGAAGAAGATGTCTTAGAGAGTATGACATACTTTCCTAGAATGTTAAGGGTCTCCTTTATAGATCTTGCGTGAAGCTCCTTTTAGGTACCTCAAATGTCATGCATTCGTGAGAACATTGAACACTTGGATTATTATATGTTAAAGTAGATAACGTTGAAGATCGCATTTCTTCCACTTTGATCATTTTTCAAGACATCTGGAATGGCCCTGCTGGTTGTTATGAAATTTATACATGCTGAATCATTGTGTGGCATCGGAAGGCCATGTGTTAAGTAAATTTGTGTGTACACTATACCACACAAATTAAGTAAAAATGCATTGAACAGATGCCAATATATGCCTGATATTGAATCGTATTTTTTTAACGTATCCATATGCTTTTAGAATGCCCATTCTTGAATACTGAAATTAATTCTTCTAGCAGAACTCGGTCGTTTGAGGGGATTGATTCGAAAGGAGGTATATCTGTTTGGAGTGTTTTGTCCTAATTCAGAATTTCATATATGAAATGTTCCTGGTACTTATCAAAATATATATATATATATATGAAATGTTCCTGGATTTTTTGCATGTTTTTTTCAATTAAGGTGGTCATTATGTAAAATGAAGTCTTATTGTCTTTAAAAGCATCAGAAGCACAAGCACTAGTTACACTCAATGACAGTTCTACTTTTCATTGCAAAAGGTAGTTTTCCAGCTAATGCTGATAGCCTTATTGGCAGGTTCAAAATTGACATCTAGATCTGATGATGAAGTTTTAAATCAGATTCTGGGTAATGATGGAAAGGGATTGGTTTCATCAGGACGAGGATCTGCCACTGACATGGTTTCCAGTATCCATAGGGCAACAAGCAGTGCATCATGTTCGAATGTTCAAGAAGTTGCCACTCAGGATGAGGGAGGAGAAATTCTTAGAAGTCTCTCTGTCGAGGAGCCTAATAACATGCTGATGGAGATGGGATCTGCTAGTCCTGAAGAATTGCGCCAACAAGCTGTGGACGAAAAAAAGAAATACAAAATTTTGAAAGCAGAAGGAAAATCTGAAGAAGCTCTAAGAGCCTTCAAAAGGGGAAAAGAGCTTGAGCGGCAGGCTGGAGCTTTGGAACTATCGTTAAGAAAAAATCGTAAAAGGGCTTTGTCGTCAATCAACATGATTGAAATCCAGAAAATCAAAGATGACCCTAACAACTCTGGCAGAAAAAATCCACTCCCTCCTCAGAAGAGTAAAGAAAAAGATGACCTTGCTGCAGAACTCAGAGATTTGGGGTGGTCTGATATGGATATGCATAATGCAGACCAAAAAAAGGCAAGCATGAGTTTGGAGGGTGAACTTTCTACTCTGCTCGGAGAAGTCTCTCAAAAACCTAAGACAGAAAAGAGAGCTGGTGGCATTGATAAGGCCCAGATCATTGCTCATAAGAAAAAGGCTCTTGCTTTGAAGCGTGAAGGGAAACTGGCTGCAGCAAAGGAAGAACTGAAGACTGCAAAAGTTCTTGAAAAGCAACTTGAGGAACAGGAATTCTTGGCAGAGTTTGAAGATTCTGATGACGAGCTTTCCTCTTTGATTCGTAGTATGGATGTTGATAAACAAGAAGACTTGTCAATCAGGCATGAACTAGGTACTGGTTTTGATGTTGATGACCTGGGGGGCCTTGGTGATGATCTTGGTATTGATAATAATTTTGAAGTGACTGATGGGGACATGGATGACCCGGAAATGGTCGATGCCTTAAAATCATTAGGTTGGACTGAGGAAGGTACTCATCCTGAAGAAGTTGAGCCCCAGCTTGTCCCTATTGATAAGGAAGCATTGTTAAGTGAAATTCAGTCCTTGAAAAGGGAAGCTGTTAATAAAAAAAGGACAGGTAATATTGCGGAGGCAATGGCATTGTTAAAGAAGGCAAAAGGACTTGAAAAGGACCTTGACAACTACGATTCTCAAGGAACTAATTTTATTGAACATTCAAACAAGGTGGGAGTGAGAAATGTCGACGGAAGAAAAGATATGGACCGTAACCTGCCACCAAAGAGTAGAGGACTGATTCAGAAAGAGCTTTTGGCCCTGAAAAAGAGGGCTCTTGCTTTGAGAAGGGAAGGTCGATTAGAGGAGGCAGATGAAGAGTTGAAGAAAGGGAAGGTTCTTGAGCAGCAGCTTGAAGAGATGGATAATGCTTCAAAGTTTAAAGTAGCACAGGTAAACATGAGTGATAAGCATGCTGATGATTTTTCTACTATTGATCTTGAAGGAGAAGGGGATGTGACAGATCACGACATGCATGATCCAACATTTCTTTCACTTCTTAGTAACTTGGGTTGGAAGGATGAAGAGGATGAACATGTGGCTGTTCCATCTAAAGCTTCTAAGGAAAGTGAAACTCCTCCTTTAAAGATCAGTGATACCTCTGTTACTCAAGCCCCTACTACCATCCAGGTTGGGGCATCTAGAAGAAGTAAAGGTGAAATCCAGAGGGAACTCTTAGGCTTAAAAAGAAAGGCGCTTTCTCTAAGACGCCAAGGGGAGACCGAGGAGGCGGATAAAGTTCTGGAAATGGCAAAAGTATTAGAGGCACAGTTGGCAGAGATTGAAGTGCCAAACAAGGAGGTCCGGGTTGAAATAGATAGAAGAATGGGAAATGAGATAATCAGTTCTCCCCTTAAAACTACAGTTGATGAAAGAGATGTGTCAGAAGAAGATATGCATGATCCAGCACTGCTCTCAGTGATGAAGAATTTGGGGTGGAACGATCAAGTTGAAACTGTAACCATGCAAGCAGAACATTCTAAACCAACTGCTAGTAGTTCTGTACATTCTGATGACCTATCCATGGTCCCATCCTCTCCAGAAGTTCTTGTTGTTCCACCAAAAAGGAGCAATCGGGATATTCAAAAGGAAATTTTGGGGTTGAAAAGAAAGGCTCTTGCCCTTAGACGAAAAGGAGAAACTGAAGAAGCTGAGGAAATTCTGAGAACTGCGACATTATTAGAGGCCCAAATGGAAGAAGTAGAAGCCCCCAAGAAAGAACAACCGTTTGACGGTTCAAATGATAAAGAACCTCAGAGTTTTGGGCCTCAAAGTGTGAAGGATGGTGTGGAAGTAAATAAAGGGACAACACAGGCAGCAGTCGGTCAGAATAGAAAAGATGTTGAGAGGCCCACAAGTTTAGGATGGAATGAAAAGGGTACAAATAATCCTCCTCCAAGGATTTCTGATATTTCAATTCCTGTAATGGCCCGGTTAGAAGATTTAGGTCCTCCAGGTGAAACAAGAAAAGCAGAAGGCACTGGATTCATTCTTCCATCAGGTCAGTCCGCAAGCATAATGGATTTGCTTACCGGTGATGATTGGAGAAATTCTCAATCATCTGAGAAAAATGTTGAAGATTGGGGCAGTCAAGAGAGTGTTGCATATGGAAAACGAGAAGAAACAGTTGATTTGAACGAGAAGCCACATATGGATGAATCAAATTCAGTTCATTTGACTGTTTCTCAGAATGACCAAGCTTCTCTCCGACAAGAAATTCTGGCACAAAAAAGGCGGGCAGTTGCTCTCAAGAGAGAAGGGAAATTGGCGGAAGCTAGGGAGGAACTTCGGCGGGCAAAACTCTTAGAGAAGTCTCTGGAGGATGTCAATAATCCCCAACCTGGTAGTGGTTCTAGTTCTGTATCAATCTCCACTCCCAATGCTGCTTCAAGTGGACAAAAAGAGCATAGTTCATCAAATTTGGCTCCAAGACCCCCTGGTTCTAGTTCGGTATCAAGGTCTACTCTCGATGTTGCTTCCAGTGGACAAAAAGGGCATAGTTCATCAAATTTGGCTCCAAAACCCTTGTCCAGTCGTGATCGTTTCAAGATTCAACAGGAGTCTCTCAGCCATAAGCGGCAGGCACTGAAGCTGCGAAGGGAAGGTCGAACGGAAGAAGCAGATGCTGAGTTTGAATTAGCGAAGGCTCTTGAAACTCAGTTGGAGGAGTTGGCTGGCCATAATTCCACGAAATCTTCTGTTAGTGGAGCAGAACCAGTTGATGATGTTGGTGTTGAAGATCTTCTTGATCCTCAACTTCTGTCTGCTTTGAAAGCAATAGGTTTGGAAGATGCTAGTATTGTATCCCGAGGCCCTGAAAAACCAGAGCCAGCAAAACCCGTTGTGGTTAAGAGTGAAAATTCTATCCAGGAGAGAATTGAACTGGAGGGGAGGATTAAGGCGGAGAAGGTAAAGGCAGTAAACTTGAAACGTTCTGGAAAGCAAGCTGAAGCCTTGGATGCTCTTCGGCGAGCCAAAATGCTTGAAAAGAAGCTGAATTCTTAGTTTTACACACACAGAGAATCATGTCATTTCCTTGCAAAGTTGGAGTGAGGCTACTGTGGAAGAATGGCTTGGGCCATGATGAGTAGAAGTAAAAGATATAAAAATTATTGAAGAATTCAGGCTTCTTGGGGGAGTTGTATACTAATAACATGTAACAACATATTGTTACATTTTTCTTACGAACAATTTCGAAAATGTTAATTTGAAAAAGATTGTTGGAGATGTATGGGTTAGGTTGTGTGAATTGTGATAATTAAAATCAAGAAAGTATGGTTTGTTCGAGCATTTGATTGTTCCTGTTGGTAACGATTGTATTTTTTTTTTATTATAGGAATATGCTTTAGTTTGAAAGGTTCTATATTTATTATAGGAAAATAATGATAACACTGAAATTATTCCATAAATATGACCTATATGGATAATCCTTGCCTTGGGGTTTGAAATGGAGCAGAGTTGACTGGAGATTCAATCAAGTCCATTTTAACAGGTTTGGATTTTAATCTCGAATCTGAATTCAAATCTTTATTGAAGTCCCTCTTTATTTATTTATTTTGGAACACTCCCATCTCAACTTGTGCCTAAATCCATAAGAAAATGTAATATCCCTAATTTTAAAAGAATAGTCATGGTATTTTAATAAATTGTTTAATTGTATTTTTAATTATTAATTATTTATTTGCTTATTTATTTGAATAAATTGTGAATTATGTTATTTGAATGAATTGTTTTATTTAATTGTTTAATTAATTGCTTATTTAATTGTATTTTACTTTTTCTTTAATTGACTTAATTATATGCTTATATGGATTATACGCTTATGCGGATTAATGAATTAAATGTTTTAATAATTTTAGGGTTTTATTTTCTTCACGGATGTAGCTGACTTGGTTATGTAATTAGAATTAGGGTTGGTATTTGTATAAGCCTATATATATACCTTTATACTTCTGCAAGGGTTTTTAGAACTCTATTTACAAACTGTGAAGGCTGAGAGAAAGTACAGGGTGGTTTGAGAGAGAACAGAGAGAGACAAGTTAGGGTTTTGGTTAGGGTTAAGGGCTGAACCAAGGAGGATTAATTGACGCATGCTTGTGGGCTGAACCAGGAGCAGCGGATGTAAGTAAAACAATTAAGGTCGCCAGAGTTGCTAGAGAAGACGGTTTAAGATTTCTAAAATGAAATCAGAGGCAAGTCTCTATTCTAACTCATTCTTTTAAACCTGTGTTCTGTGCATGCCTAGGTAGACTCCAGGGGTTTAATTAATGCTAAAACAAAATTTTAATGCGTGTTTAAACTATATTTAATCTCGTTGAATTAAACTAGTTTGCAAATTCTTAAAGTTCTGTTAACTGGTTCCCGCTGTCTTTGCGTTTAAGCTTTGTTTAATTGAGATCGTTGATGCATATCGATGTCTTGTAAATAATCTGGGACGTTGAATGAACACTAGAACAAGTATTAAAAGAATTACAGAAGCCCGGGGTATTGCCGGAGGCGAGGAAGATGAAACAGAAAAGGCTAACAACTCCAAGGAGTGAGAGAGCAGGCTCCCAAAAAGAGGGAGCCAGCTCCCTCATTGATGGAGCCGGCTCCAAGGAGTGTGGAGCCGGCTCTTAGCTCCACAGCCGGCTCCCAAGGGTAGGGAGTCGGCTTCCATGTTAATAGAACAGGCTCTCAATTTGTGAAAGCTTGCTCTCGCCCAGAATTATGTATTAGCTATTTTTAGGGCGTTGTTTGGGCTGTACATGGTATTTTTTACTATGTTTAAACTGCTTTAAATGATGTATGGGATTGTTATGACCTGTAATATTATGGGGAAACATTAATTCATAATTGGACTAAGGAATGGAGCAAGACGAATTTAGGGAAAAACCTATAGGTTGCACACTGTTTTGGTTAATTAAATTACTTGCTGGAACTTGGAGCTTCTGTTATATATAATTTAATACTATTTAATCATAATTAAACAGAGTTATAAGTGTAGTGAATTACTTGTAATTAACTACGCTTGGTTTGGAATAAATTGGTATTTAACTTGCTTTTAACTGTATCAATTTATGGCCGATTTGGAGGATTTAAATGCTTTGATTTAATTTAGCAATTTAAATAATTGGAACATGATTTTTAGGTTTTATAATGAATTCCTAATATCGTTTTATATGTATTAATTTATATTGATGCATATTTTGGAGAAGGGTTAATGAATACCTGGTGTTGTTTTATCAATTATGCTAATTGGAGGATTGTATGCACCGGTATGGGACGATGGCATATTAGGGATGGATTAGTTCAAATACTAAGTCTTACCTAATCTGGATTGAGGTATGGATTAACCATAAATATTAAGTCCTACTTATATTTGTGTCATGTCAATAAAATAATTGAATGACCTACTTTGGTTTCTGGATGGATTGTTATACATATATTAGGCCACTATACCAGATGGATGATATTTTGTATTAGGAGTATACGGACTTTATATATATATATTATGGTGCCATGGTATGAGCTTGAGTCTCAGGACCATGGTTAGAGTGCGTATATCCCCTATGATGGATAACTGGACATAGGTGTTGTTCCCTGGTAGGTCTAGGTACACATGACCACGTTATGTGCGATTTGCATGGTATCTTTACTCAGGCTGAGACAGACCTATTGGACTAGTGAGCGTCCTATAGTGTGTATTTATACATATATGGACTATTCTAGTTATTGTCGAGTTATCTAGGATGTATCTGCGTATCAGGTTTCTGTATAGATCGTAATAGGATAGGACTTGCATGTGGGCCTGACCCACTTTCTTGTTTTTCTGGTGTTCGTCAGTTCCAGGGTTAGAGCTTGATCGTGCAGAGCAGATACAATGACTTACTCCTCCGATTACGTATGATTGCTTTCTATATTTAGCGTTGGATTTTTGTTACAGTTATTTCTTTTCCAGTTTGGGATTTTATTATGGGTCCACTTGATGGATTCCCGAGTTGTTAAATTAATGGAGTTATTTTGGATTATTGGATTTTAACAATAGTAACCTTTGAGGATTTTATAATTAGAATTCTTTTCAGCTTATTATTTTATTTCTTTGATTTATCTTGTATTCTGTGCTTATTTACATATTAATTGTTTGGTATCCCTCGGGTCTGTGCTCGGACTTGATCACCCGTGACTCTAGATTCGAGGGGTATCACAGTTGGTATCAGAGCACTCCAGGTTTAGTGTCTCTAGGATTCTATCGTATAAGACTTTTGCGTAGCGTTTTCTCTTATTTAGAGCTTAAGTTTAGGATTCATTGTATTCTTTTACGGTTCGGTTTAAATCGTACTGATGTCTGTCTTTCTATGTTAACAGAATGGTTAACGCTAGGATTAGATAGAACAATCAGTGACTAAGGGAAGCAGCCCGTAGGCAGTTTCAGGAGGATGATGGTCAGTTTTACGAAGAACAGGAGGAAGTTCAGCAGACTCAGGATCAAGGAGGAGATCCAAAGTATCCTCCTTATATCAATGACCTCATTGCTTGGGCTATAGAAGCAGGTGTGACAGCTGTACTTCGGAATCAACCATCGGTTCAGTAGGTGCCTATACCAATACCGGTTGTTTAGGTTGATACTTGGGAAAATGCTAGGAGTTCTTTCACAAAAGGGAGCCCACCTGAGTTCTCAGGCTCGACTGATGCGAAAGCAGCTCACCAGTGGAAATAGGATATCGAATGACAGCTTCGCCTAGTTTAGTACACGGAGGTTCAGAAGCAGATGCTTGCTACCTTCAAGCTAGTTGGAGATGTACTATAGTGGTGGGAGTCAGTTACCACTGCAGAGGAGAAAATGTCATTGACTTATGATCAGTTTAGTGCACGCTTTGATGAGAAGTACTTCCCTTACGTAGTCAGGGCAGCTATGAAGACAGAGTTCCTTAATCTGCAGCAGGGAAACATGACAGTGGCAGAGTATGAGCAGCAGTTCACACACTTATCTCTTTTTGCTCTAGAGGAGGTGGATACAGAAGAGAAGAAGCGAAATAGTTTCGTTAAGGGACTGATGTGGTCTATCAAGTGAGCTATTACAGGTAGTCTAGCCTACACTACTTATGCTCAGGTGGTGGACGCCACTTTACAGCAATATCAGTTGACCGTGGACTTCAGACAGGCTAAGAATGAGAAGCGGGGTGACAGAGACTCTACTAATTAGTCAGTTGAGAAAGGAAATGGCAATGGACACTGACAGAATGACAAAAGGCAAATTCCAGGGACAGTAGTCTTGGAAGAAGCACAAGGGTGGTTCAGATACTTACAGGGATGGGGCACCCATTTAGAGGTAACAGAATGGGGGACCACAGGCAGGATAGGGTCAGCCACAGGCTAACCGACAGAGGAGTCCATTTGGTACTTTCCAGGGTAGTTGCTACACTTGTGGAGAGTATGGTCATACTTCTAGGTAGTGTCCTAAAGCAGGACAGGGACAAGGACAGCATATGCAGCAGGGATAGAGGGCCCCGGTACCTTTACCCACTTCACAGGTTCCACGGATTCAGGGACAGACATATCCGGCTTTACTAGCACCGCCACAGCCTTAGGGACAGGCACCGCAACAGTTGCATTATGGCAGTGTGTACAACCCCATGCCACAGGGTATTCAGGTACCTCAGGCTGTTGAGGGTATGTTTCCTATTCATGGTTCGTTGGGGCATGTTTTATTTGATACGGGTGCTACACACTCATTTGTATCTAGATCTTTTGTTGCTTTATCTGGGATGACGACGCGGGTATGCAGTAGACCTCAGGGTATTTCTATACCTTTAGGCAATACAACATGAGAGTGATGGGCCTGTGACATTAGATATTGGTAGACTCAGATTTTTAGCCAATCTATTGGTTCTGGACATGCACACTTATGATGTGATACTTGGGATGGATTGGTTATTGCACTACCATGCCCAAGTTAATTGTTATGATAGGTCTATTGTGTTCACCATACCTGGTTAGGATATGTACGTTGTAGCTATACCACGTTCTAACAGGGTTACTAGCACATATTTGTTCCATATGGAGGAGGAAACGGAGGAGGCGATTACTGTGTCATTGGATAACATACCAATTATACAGGATTTTCCAGATGTTTTTCAGGAGATTCCAGGAGTGCCACCTAGTCGCGAGATTGACTTTGTGATTGACTTAGCTCCAGGTACTACGCCTATTTCTAGGGCACCATACAGAATGACACCAGTGGAGATGAGAGAGCTGAGGGATCAGATTCAGCAATTACTTAGCCAGGGTTTTATTCGTAGGAGTACTTC